AGGGCTCGCTGGGCTTTGAGCTCAGAGCTACAAGCCAGCGCGGCAGGGGCTTCGGCACTTGGCAGGGAAGGGGACGGTGCAGGGCCAGAGCTGATGCAATGCCAGCGCGAGCCTGGCCCTGCAGATGCTGCCCCGCTTTCCACCCAGGACCACGGCAAGCAGGGCAAGTGGTGGGGGAAGACGCCCGCAGTGGGGAGGCCCGGGAGGTCTGGCCCGCACCCTGCACCGTCCCTGGCCCCGGTATGGGGGTGCCTCCTGCCCCCCACCTGCGGCGCACAACTGCTCCAGTCCTCCCCTGGGAAGCGAGCGCAGGGAACGTGGGCAGTGGAGGAACAGCTGAGCTGCCTGGAGCAGCCCTTGCGCTGCGAGAACGCAGCTCGTTTGCACAGAGCGACATGATTGTGGAAACACCGAGCAGCAGCACACGGAGAGCGCCGACGTCACCAGGCACCAACAATGTCGGATTCTGTGCCACTTTGGACCAAGAAAACCTAAACCAACCCTGACAGCGTTTTCGTCAACAGCAACACAGGGTGCACACAAACGGCGCTCGCCCCTGCGCTGTCAGGACGAACGCTCTGCATCACCGCCACGACTGCCCCGCTACTGAAAGGGACGGTCAAGGGCATCTTCCCCAGCTGCCCCGTAGCAGGGAGGGAGTGTGGGCTGCAAGCGCGGCAGGGCAGCCAGGCAGCGGGCGAATAACCTTGCTGCCCGGCAGGCTCTGGCGAGGGGATGCTGAGCCACACAGCACCTTGGTCCTGGCTCGGGGCAACGGGTTGCTCTTGTTCATCACATTGCATGAAAACCCATGGAATACAGAAGGGCGGCATGAGAGGCAGCGTGACACGTGTGGTTAGCGTGTCACAGGGGAAGCACAGGGCTGGGAAAAGCCTAGGAAAAGGTCAGTGCAGACGGGCGTGTGTGCACGCACGCCTGCGCTGGGAGCTCAGCACCGGCTGCCCCAGAGCAGCTCGTGTCACAAATGAACGCCATGCTCATCCCGGAGCTCTGGACAACCCCCAGTACCTTGCCAAGGACCGAGCTCAACCCCTGCCGAGGTGCCGATGTGCAAGTGGCGTTGCACACAGCAGCCCGTCCTGGAAGGGGACCTGGCTGGGTTCATCTCCCCTGCATCCAGCTGGCCCAGACCCTGCCTCAGCGCCTGCTCTCAGCCCTGCACGACCGATCAGGGCTTGTGGTCACATTTTTTCATTAACTATTTTTAATCCACATTTTGCCTCTTCTCCATTCAGCCTTTTTTCCCCAGTCCAGGCAACAGAACATGAAAAAATCTGCACCGCAGCATGTGGAAAGGAGCAGGGATTGGTGGAAAGGATGGGAGCTGGCAGCTGGGGCTGCACTAACATGCCGAGG